TTTCTCGGGCCTCTTATCTTTCGCTGATTTGATCTACAATGCGCTTCCGTGGTTCAGCTCGAATTTCGATCTCTACTCTCAGAAATGTAAGCAATTGAGTGTGAATTGAGTAATCTATTTGTTTAGGTAGAAAAGTTGAGCGACTAATGGTGCAAATCGGGGTGACGAGATATGATTTCAAGTTTATGCTTTCTGAATTGAGCCTAAAACCAATTTTCAGTTCCCCTGGCCAACTTTTGTCTCAAATTTTTCTCAAGCACATCGTTTTTGCGATCACCGGATTGTTGGTGTTGAGGTGAGAGTTGCTGGGTCAAGTACTAGAGGTTCTTGACACTTTTTGCTAGTTAAGATTGTTTCCAACTCTGGGCTAGATCTAGGCAGGCTAGGCTAGATCAGCTTAAGCTGGGACAGGCCAAGGCCAAGAGACAAATCAACCAGGTCAAAAGCTAGCTCTATTCCTGGCTGATTGGCTTGACTTTGGGTTTCTTCTAAGGGAAATAGACGCTAAGGGAAATAGACGCTAAGGGGAATAGACGCTAAGGGAAATAGACGCTAAGGGGAATGGACGCTAAGGGAAATAGACGCTAAGGGGAATAGAAGCTACTTACTAGCCGATACAAGTCTAGTACTACTCGAGTAGTTTCAGACAAAAATGTTCAAGAAGTAGAGCTAGAACCCTTCAGCTAGAGCTAGAGCCATTCAGCTAAAGCTAGAGCCATTCAGCTAGAGCTAGAGCGTTTCAGCTAAAGCTAGAGCCCAGCTAGAGCTAGAGCCATTCAGCTAGAGCCCAGCTAGAGCTAGAGCCATTCAGCTAGAGCCCAGCTAGAGCTAGAGCCATTCAGCTAGAGCCATTCAAAGCCAGCCAAGAACTAAAGCCATTAATCAAATCATTTTTTTTAGATTGTATCTGATGAAACGCTTTCAGCAGAAGAAATTCTTTGAAATCGGCAATTTTCGAAGGGTTTTTTTCGGTCTTTAACTTAAAAACAAGAATTCAGATGAGCGAATCGTTCAACTCGGAGACGAAAGTCGCGGAAACGCTTCAGAATTGCGTTTTCTTGATCGCACTCGTCATTTGTGGATTCATCTATCCGTCGATCGTAAAGCAGCCGTAGTTCTTTCAAATAATGCCGAAATTTTAGACAAGTTTCCCCTATTTTCTCGGATATTTCTTTGTGTTCTTGCGATGGGCATTGAATCGAAAATTGGGAAGACAAGTTTTCGTTGAAAGAATCGACTCGTAATTGAAATAAAATTTTTAGGAATTTGCAAAACTTCGCCTTTTCTTCATCGTTTATTCATTTTTGCATCTCTCAATCCTTCATTCATATCAAATGCCGGCTGTTCATCGTTTCATTAAACCGGAAACGTTTTGGGCAAGGTAACTTTGTGTACTTTGAGTACTTTTTGTACTTTATGTACTTTGTGTACTTGGTTTACTTTGTTTACTTTGTGTTGTACTTTGTGTACTTTGTGCTGTAAACGTGAACTCTCTGGCACGTGAATTTAAGCAAGAAAGTGCATGGGATCAATTGGGTAATTGATTAAATTTGATATTTGATTGGATAATTGATTAAATTGACTGGTGCAGTCGATTAAGAGGGAGTTTTTCCGGGAGGTCGTCGTTGTCCTCGTGGTGTAGTCGGGAGGGCTCTGGTCTACAAGCCACAGGACCCGGGTTCGACTCCCCCTCTCTCATGACTTTTGCTTTTTTACAAAAATGAAGTTCTAGATGCATATCTACATAATTCTAGATGCATAGCTACAGCCTAATCACTAAAAATCATTTAAATCTCGAGAGCTTGCACGGAGAACTCGAACGGACAGACATTTCCCTTTTATCTATGCTAAATTTCAGAATCTTTGGCCTCAATCGCCTCGTCCACTTTCGATGTGATCGTTTTATTTATCCAAAGGTTATTCAGACATTAGAAATTGATTGTTAACTCAAAATCCGTCTACTTATTTCCATTTTTGCTCGTATGAACAATATGGTGATCGAAAATTTGATCAAATCCACAAATTTCTAGGTGACTCACACATGGTATTGGCCGGAACTCGTGCAGCCGATCGTTTTACTCATTTTCTATCAACTCGCCGTCTATCAGTACAGATTGCTCACGATTATGGTAAATTTGAAATTGAATTTCGGTCATAATTTGGTAATAATTTGCTTATTTTAAAAGAAGTAGACAAAAACTACGCGAAACTACGCGAAATCGGTTTTTTTTTCTTTCATTTGAACCACTCAAACACTCAGAAATATTGGGTTGTCCTGTTATGAATGCGCGTTTTTTATTATTCTGTGAATCGACATGTGACTAAAGCGATTTATGAAACAAAAGCTTTCAAGTAAGGAGATATAAACTGAAAGAAACACAACAAGGATACTTATAAGAATGTTCTAATTCAGTCCAAGGGTTGTCTAATTGCAATTGATTTATTTGAGTCCAAGAATCGAAGCCAAACCCAGCTTTAAATCAAAGCAATTGGGTTGTCGAGTTATATTATTCGAAAGCTGAAGATCTCCTCTACATTTTGATATAAAAAGGTTTTTGAATTTGTTCAGCTTTTGGGCAAATTGACTGCACAGAAGAAGAGGTGGCCAAAAAATGGAGAAGGTGCCTTTGGATCAAGTTTTGGCTTCGCTCAAATTGGATTAACCGTTTGGTGTTTGGCCAATAGATATATCAATACAACTTTTTTTTAAATATAACAAGTTCAGAGCATCTTTTCTTTTCTGGGCGGTTATTTTACACCATAAAACTTGAGGAATAGCTAAGTTGGAATGGGTTTTTTTTTTTGAAAGCTACCTCTCCCTTTGTGCAGTCAATTTCCCCAAAAGTTGAATGAATTCAAAAACGTTTTTATTCCAAAATGTAGAGGAGATCTTCAGCTTTCGAATGATATATAACACTCATATAAATCTGTTCGATATCTTGAGAAATTTACAAAATAGTAACTGGACAACCCAAAAGCTTAGTCTTCGCTTTGCCTCGCTTAGCTTAACGATAAATTAACGATAGCCTTGAATAACTTTGTCGAATACGGTGTCTAGATGTATGCCTGGATTGCTTTAAAAAAATCTTTGAGACTTTTAAAGCATTTTAGAGTAGGTAGTACGTTTAGAGTACGTTTAGAGTACGTTTAGAGTACGTTTAGAGTACGTTTAGAGTACGTTTAGAGTACGTTTAGAGTACGTTTAGAGTAATTCACTTGAACCTTTGTGAATAGTTGAATGGTTTAGCTGGTTCACTTGTTCACTTGTTCACTCGTTTTGTTGCTAAAAGTAGTCTTCACTTGTTAAAGTAGTGCTATTATTATTGCTATTGAAGACTAAAAACTATTTAACACTCATATACATCTGTTCGATATCTTGAGGAATTTACAAAATAGTAAAAAAGCGTATTCATAACTGGCCAACCCAATAGTTGGAAAATCCACACAAAATTTGGCAATAAAAAAAGCACATAAAGTTTTCTCAAAAAAAAAAAAGAAATTTTGAAGTGGATACCGAAAAAGGATATTTGATTTCTCTTCTTTTTTTCTTCTTTTTTTCTTCTTTTTATCTTTTTGTTGAATGGGGTTTGAACCCGTACACCAATTCCTGAGGGAAAACTCGAAAAAAAAAAAACACATCTTCTGGATAAGGAACTTTCAAAATCCTTTGAAAAGCAACAAAAAAATAGTTTGAAGTTTCGGAAAAAGTCCCTGGAATTTGTTAGAATAATTTGGAAAGGGTTATGGAGGAAAATTTTGTTTAAAATTATCGGAAATGAACGGTTGAAAGGCTTGATTGAAAGAAAAATGAGAAATGTTTTTGATTTCGAGATAGATTCGAGAAAAAAAACACATCTTCTGGATAAGGAACTTTCAAAATCCAAAAGATTCAAAAGATAGATATTCAAGCGATATCCAGGTAACTTTCAAGTGTTAGAGATTAGAGAATAGTCTCAAGAACTAGGCTGATCAAGTCTAGAATGTTATACTAGCTAGATAAGAGAGATTTGAATGCCAAAGAGTGCCAAAGAATACCAAAAAATGCCAAAGAACTAGGTCTTGCCTCATCCGGCTTTGATCAAGTCTACCAATGTCTTAAATTTAGCCTGGATCAGGACAAGACATAAAAACATTAAATGAATTGTTGCAAAGCGACTTTAACTAGCAATACTGGAATTGGCTGGTCTTCTGGATAAGGAAATTGGTTGATCTGGTTGATCAGATGGTGGAAATTGGTTGATCTGATTGTATCTCACTAGGAAAAGGCAAGCACTTGTCCTTTTGAAACGAGACCAAATCCATATTATAGAATCGGTCACGCTGAGTTCGAATCTGTTTTTAGTTTTTTTCCTCAACGCCTGTAACGCAAGATATCTGGCTTAGAAGTCTTTGTTGCATTTTTGACCTCGAGGCGAGCCGCTATCTGATGAGGCGTCCACAGGGTCCGCTGACATAAGGGTGTTTGGCCGAGGGGATAGTGCTCTCGGCTACAGAACCGTTTTACCCTGGTTCGATTCCCCTCACGTCAAATATTTTTTGCTTTTCCTTTTTATATTAATAAAATCTATTTAATAATTAAAAACAACAGCCTTACAGGCCTCAAGAGCAAAAATTGAAAGCAGTTTCGAACTCAGAATAACCAATTCTATATTATGAGATGTGTTTAATCTCGTTTCAAAAGGCTCCGACTTGAAGAGGCTTGCCTTGTTTAATTTCTCTGCAATTTACCGTTCTAATTCTTCCAATTCTTCTTCTATCGTCTATATTATATTTAAAACTATTAAAATTTACAGCCACAACCGACTAAAGCTCTTTCCCGAAAGCCAAGTCGTGTCTCTCTGCGCATTGAATCCGAGAGAAAAATCTCGAGCAACAGTTCAATCTCCCCAATTGTTCAAGTAACAATCACTGTGATTGATGAGGAAAAAACGGAATCTAAAGTTTTTCAAAGCATCTATTACTTATCAAAAAGCTTTTAGATGAGTGAAATAACCGGGGAAATGATTGAATCGAAATCCTCGAACAAATCCGAGATCTTCAATCCTTTATTGTCCATAAAGAAGTTTTTCCGATTTCTATTGGTAAATGGAATCGATTAAAGCTTTAGAAATCGAAATTTCAGCATGAGATTCTCGGGGAGAACTTTAAAATCACCGATTTGCTACAGAAAATCGTCGCCTTTGCACGAGCACAAGCTTACGTTTTGACGCTTTTCATTATGATGGTTTGTTTGGTTTTTAAAAGCTGAAAATCTGTCTACAGATCTGTCTACAGCTCCAGTAATCTATAAAGAAATATACAGTAATCTTACAGCTACATTATAGCCTTTACTGGCATTTGATTTTTTATACTTTTATCGGCTTTTATCGGATCACCTAGATGACCGGATGATCTCAGCCTAAGCCTGAGCCTGAGCCTGAGCCTAAGCCTGAGCCTAAGCCTAAGCCTAAGCCTAAGCCTGAGCCTAAGCCTAAGCCTGAGCATAAGCCTAAGCCTAAGACTGAGCCTGGGCTCTAAGCCGATAAAAGTAGAGCTATAGTATACCCAAAAGATTCTATTCTTATGCTTCATCTTACTGTACTTTTTCAGGCTTGGTCTCTCACTTTTCATTCTTGGTTGACATTTGCTCTCTTAGCTGCCTCGTGTGTCGTCTGGATGAGCCCAAATCCGCAACAGTTTTGTTTCAAGGTAAGAATTGAAGAAATAAAAGATATCAGCTATTCAATTCTCTTTCTTTCTTTCTTTCTTTCTTTCTTTCTTTCTTTCTTTCTTTCTTTCTTTCTTTCTTTCTTTCTCTTCCCCTTCAATTTGTGTACAGTCTCTGGAAACAAGATACTGGATAGCTCAATGGTAGAGCGTCTGCTCGGTAAGCGGAAGGTCGACGATTCTATTCTCTCTCCAGAAATCTTTCCATTCTTTACTTTAATACTAAACAGAATATTATAGGTGGCTCCGATCGTCGCTTTATACGCCACATTTCTTCTTGGTCTTCAATTTGTGTACAGTCTAAATTTGACTCAAAAAGAGCTACCCGACGAGAATCCACCGTATCTTCGACAAGTGAGTCGATCAGCTATTCTTCAGCTATTCAACTTTAATATTAAATAGCTCTAAAATGTATGCAGATTCTAGCGTATCATCAAGAGATGGAGAATGACTTTCTGTAGAAAATCTGTAGAAAACAAGGGAATGTCAACCCTTGTTATCTACAGAATGTCAACCCTTGCCTTCAGGCCAGGGTTGACATTCTGTATAACAGCCAAATGACACAAATATTATGCTATTTAAGGCAGAATTTTGCGCTGATTCCGAATCTGTTTTCCGTTTTTATTATGATAAACTATGTCAAAAGTTATAAGGATACAAGGTTTGAATAGGATTTTCAAAATTACCTTTCGAGTTTATTAGCAGATTTTCGAGAGTCTTTAAGAAGTAGAAATAAAAAACAGATTAGAAATCAGTGTAAAATTCTGTAGGATTTGAATTGTTGAAGATTTGAATAGGATATGGCTCGTTTTTTGTCAGTACAAGCTATAATGTAGCTGTAAGATTACTGTATATTTCTATAGAGATTACTGCTTAGGCTCAGGCTTGGGCTTAGGCTCAGGCTTGGGCTTAGGCTCAGGCTTGGGCTTAGGCTTAGGTCATCCGGTCATCTAGGTCATCCGATAAATCCGATAGAAGTATAAGAAATCAGATGCCAGTACAAGCTATAATGTAACTGTAAGATTACTGTATATTTCTATAGAGATTACTGTAGCTCTATATAGACATTTCTTTGTAATCTCTAGATATTATTGAAAGCTTTTGTTTGGCTCTGGTTCTGAAGCCAGATACATTTCAATTTGAATAAGCTGGATGGTGGATAAGCTGACTTGGAGACCGAGCTGGGTCACAACTCTCTTTGAGACCGAGCTGGGTCACAACCCTCTTTTATCTATTCACTAAATCTATTCACTATATCTATTCATTAAATCTATTCATTAAATTTTCAGTTTGGCATGGAGAAACCGCGAGATCGTGCTCCATTTGCGGATCTTTGCTTAAAATGTCTCTTCACTTCAATCATTTTCCTTTCAATTAAACAGAAAATCGTGGAATTGAAGAAAAAGAGTAAAGAAGATGAAATGATGCTTGAATCGGGTGAAAGAAAAGCACTCCTCGAGAGTCAACAAGAGGAAAAAGGAAAGGAAAAAGTGAAAAGTACGGTAGATTTATAGAAAATGAATCAGTATAACAACAGCTTTTGGTTTTTTGAAAGAAATAACTGCTTAAGAAACAACTGCTTAAGAAGTAACTGCTTAAGAAACAACTGGTTAAGAAACAACTGCTTAAGAAATAACTGCTTAAGAAATAACTGCTTAGGAAATAACTCTTTAATCGTCTTCTACAAAAAAACCGTATACCCTTACTGTAATCAATTCCTTTAGAGTCAACAATGATCGAGAAGATCCGCAAATTCTTGGCCGATCACTGGGTGTTGTTCACAATGTTTCTCATTCTCCTAATCTCGTTACAAGCTCCCGTTGTCCTCTATCGACTACTCTACATGGCTTTCTTTCAAACGTTTCTAGTGCTATTTCAGGTAAACATAGACTAAACATAGCAGAGATTCTGGAAAAAAAGAGGAACTAAGACTAAGATGGACTAAGACTGAGAACTAAGACTAAGATGGACCAAGACTAAGAACTAAGACTAAGATGGACCAAGACTAAGAACTAAGACTAAGATGGACTAAGATGAAGAGGAACTAGCTAAGCTGGACTAAGACTAAGAACTAACACTAAGATGGACTAAGACTAAGATGAACTAAGATGCAAATCGAATCTCATTTTTACAGATCTCATTCCCGACGTGGCGCCGTGGTTTATACGCTTTCTGGATGTCAATGATCATCTATTGCATGGCCGTCGTCACCCTCATTTACACTTTTCAATTTCACGGAGTACCAGACTTTTATGCGAGATATTTGTCGAATGATGTGTGAGTGGATTTCAAAAACAAAACTCACAGAAAGCTTTGTAAAATTTTCAATAAAATTCAACTAGCCTTTTCTAAAAATTTCAAATTATTTAAAGCGATCAAAATTCTTTATTTGAAGACTTTTGCTACTTTGCTACTACTTTGCGCAAAATTTTTTGAGCAACTGAGTCATTTGCGCGACTAGGTCTTTTGCGCAACTCCCCATAGCTTGTTTCTAAGTCGGTCAATCTTTATGATTTTGATGTTATTTTGTAGATTTGAGCAAGTGTAACAAAATGACACCAAAATCATAAAAATTGGCCGACTTAGAAGAAAGTTATGATGAGTAGCGCCAAAGAGCTAGTTGCGCAAAAAATTTGGAGCAAAGTCGCCACCCCCGACTTTTGTTTAGGCTCAGGCTTAGGCTTAGGCTTAGGCAGGCTTAGCTTAGGCAGGCTTAGCTTAGGCTTCTTTCTCTTTCTCTTCTTGCTCTTCTTTCTCTTCTTCCTCTTCTTTCCTATTTCTTAGGAATAACTCAGCGGTCGAGCAATTGCCGGATAAGCAGAAGGTTGAATTCTTCTTGGTTTCAAATTCTTTTCCATAAATTTCTCTTCAATCCATCTTCAAGCCAGATCTTGATTGAGCTAGTTTTTAGATAATAATTTTCAGAATCCATTCCTTCGGTCTTGAGCGAATCTCATCGGGACAATTGTTGATTAAACTCTTAACACCAATCTCTTTTCTCATTTTCTCATTGATTCAAGTGAATTTCTTTCACGAGCGTTTGATGAGCAGAACTGAGAAATGGGAACAAGTAAGGGATTTTGAAAAGCTTTAAAACAACAAATTTTAGATCATTTTTGATAAAAAACCGCAATTATCTCGAATTTTTGCTGAATTACATGCACAAAGCGAGATGCGGATGGACTTTTTCCGACAACACTTCGCTATGGTTCAATCGCTGATGTAAGAGTCATTGCTTAGCTTAGATTGCTTAGAAATCATAGCTAGATTTAGCAATAAGCCTTTCTGTAGGCTCAGCAATAGAAACATAGCCTTTCTGGCATACTTGGCTTCAAAAGTGTTAAGTTAAATGCACTAGAAAGCGTGCGTTTTCTCATTTTCGATTCGATTTGCTCAACCAAAGTTACACTGGAGATCAGTTCTTTGGGTGGACTTCGTGTTCACCGGTAAACGCACGCTTTCTGGTGCACGGGGAGCAGTGAAGTTAGATGGTTTTCAAGTTAAAAAAGTTAAAAAGGTGTACTTTGTGCTCACCGGTAAACACAACCTTTCTAGTACATCAGATGCTTTCTAGTATCGATTTTTATATAAACCTTTTAAAAAATTTCTTTAGAAAAAGAATTTTTATTTTTTTTGACTTGAAAAACATCTAACTTCACTGGTCCCCGTGCGCCAGAAAGCGTGCGTTTACCGATGAGCACAAAGTACACCTTGAAGTACAGTAGAGTAGAAGGCTAGAGTACAATAGAATAGAAGGCTAGAGTGCAGTAGAATAGTAAAATACTGTTAATACCGTAGTCTTAGAGAGTGTAAGATTGTTGTGTCTCACAAAAAAAAACGAATCTAAAACCAATCATACACAGATTCGGCCGTCCTAAGCGTAAAAACGCACGCGTGAGATTTCACATAGATTCTTGGTACAAAATATTATATTTTCAATTATATTTTCAAAATTGCTTAGAGATTTGCTTGCTTTAACATTTAGCTTTTATTATTTAGCTTTTTTTTTAATCTTAAATGACTTTCAAAGTTATAAGTGCATTTTAGGAAACGAGAACAAGAAGAAGAGGAGGCTAAAGCCAAGGTGATGGCACAAGAAGGAGAACACAAAGAACATCAAGATATGAAAACAAAAGTGAAAGTGTATTTGAATAAGATTGAGAAGAAAGTTGAGAGAATGGTCAACAAAAGGAATCAGGTCAGTAGATTTCGATTTCGAGAAGCTAAGGACTACAGTAACTAGTGAGAAATAGTTCTTGTTCTTGAACTGATTAGGGAAGCTTAGGCTCAGGACCAGGCTCAGGGTTAGGCTTAGGACCAGGCTCAGGGTCAAGCTCAGGACCAGGCTCAGGGTTTGGCTCAGAGCCAGGTTCAGGGTTTGGCTCAGGGTCAGGTTTAGGGCCACGCTCAAGACCAGCCTCAGGGTCAAGCTCAAGACCAGGCTCAGGGTCAAGCTCAGGACCAGGCTCAGGGTCAGGCTCAGGGTCAGGCGCAGGGCCAGGCTCAGGGCTTCTAGATTCACTGTTAGTACTGAATACTTACTTTCCCCTGGCCCGCTCTGACCTAATCAGCTTCAATGACATTCAATGACATTCAATGACTGGAAACAAAAGGATCTTTTTGAGACTACTAGCTAGTTCTGTGGTGTATTGGTTAGTGTCACTGTTCGCGAAACCAAAAAGCCAAACCCACGTGGGTTTGACTCCTCGTCAGGGCAATCGACAATTGTACAATTTTTGTACAATACTCTTGTTGGTTAGCTAGTTAGCATTTTGTTAGTAGCTTTGATCCACAAGGTGGCTAACAAAACCTTGGCTTTGGTGTCGGCAAACTATTGTAGTCACGCTATTGTAAGACATCAAAGTGATCCCAAAAGCTGCTCTATCGTTTTTTGGGGTTAGAGTTTTAAAACAACTTCTTCAGTACGCAGAAATTCTATGGAGAATTATCGAAATGCATGTGGAGAGAGCGATCTGCGGACTGATGATGTATGTGGCGATCACTGAAGTGAGTAAAGAAATTGAATTAAAGCTCTACGATCGCTGAAGTGAGCTGAAGTGAGTAAAGAAATTGAATTAAAGCTATGCGATCGTTGAAGTGAGTAAAGAAATTCGAATTAAAGCTCTAAATGTTGATCTAAATATCTAAATACCGAATTTTCTCAGATCTCCGCCACTAATTTGCCAATGGTTTTCTTCATTTCTTTGGTTTTCTCAAAAGAACACCTTTTCAACACATTGTCACCATTTTTGGCTGTCTGGACATCGGCTCTTGTGATGTGCAAAATGTTTTATCAAATGGATGCTTTTAAAGAGGAATTTTTTTGAAGTATCTTGTGATGTGAGTGGAGAAAATTGAAGAAAATTAGAGAAAATTAGAGAAAATCATGGGGAATTTCTAGAGTGAATACGTCAATGGCACATATAATGCGATGGCGTGGAGTGGATTGAATAAAACGCCGAGATTAGCCTCATTGCTTTGGGTTCGTTGATGGTGAACTTTTTGCTCGTGTAAACGTACCCTTCCTGGAGTAGCAGAGATTCTAGCCAGCTTTAAAACTAGCTTTAAGACTAGCCTGAAGACCAGCCTTAAGACTAGCCTTAAGACCAGCCTTAAGATCAGCCTTAAGACCAGCCTTAAGACTAGCCTTAAGACCAGCCTTAGGATCAGCCTTAAGACAAGCCTTAAGACCAGCTTTATGCGTTCTTTTCCGCCCGCTCGCCTCTCAAAAGTGGCTAGTTCAATGCGCTAGATGGCGCGCATTTACGAGCGAGCAAAAAAGATGAGTGTCCTAGAAGGGATGTGTTTACATTTTTGAGCACAAAGTACTTGTTAGATGACTGAATTTCCCTTTCAGCCCTACATCCTTCTATCAGTGGCCTTTGCTGCGAGAACGGTGATCTGGCTTCGAATGACGATGCATAGGAAGAACAAAAAGGTTCTCTAATAGCTATTTTCAATTTTCTAATCATTATATTGAGTTCAAGCTTTATTTTATTATCTTTAGGAAGCTCCACCCCTTCACGGGATCATTTTTTCGAAGATAAATCGAAGAAAAGCTGACAAATCGTTGGCGAAATGTTTGCAATATTTGGCCAACTATTTCTTCTACAAGTTTGGATTTGAGGTTGGTTTGGCTTCCTTTCTTTCTTTCTTTCTTCCTTTCTTTCTTTCTTTCTTCCTTTCTTTCTTTCTTTCTTCCTTTCTTTCTTTCTTCTTCCCTTTTGTCTTCCCACTTTCTCTTGGCAAGTTAAGGCACTGAATAGCTTAGTGTTTAGAGCAATTGGAACAAAGGTCCAGAGTTCAATCCCCTTCAGAAATCTAAGTTTCCTTGTCAGCTTTTCTTCGAGCCTTTGCTTTTTTGATTATAGATTTTGAATTCAATTCTGACAATTGGAACAGCCACTTTTTATGAATCCAATTTACATTGTGATTCAATGTTTGCTTAAAATTTTTGCTTAAAATTTTTGCTTAAAAACAAAGCCTAACAACTCAAAGTATAATATAAGCCATCAGAAAAATCAGATTTATTATATAAAATAAAAGGCGACGCACAATTACCCGCACTCAATTCAAATTCACATTTTAAACTTTGATCCCTAATCGAAAATCATTGTTTTCTAATAAAAATAAGCTAGATTTTGGAAATAATAAATAAAAAGGAGTAAATGAGCTGGTTTTGTTCGATTTTGAGCCATTGAAACTAGTTACAAAAACGAGAAAATCGCGATTCCGCCGCAGGAAACGCGTGTCGCAGCTTTGCAACGCTCTAGCAAAAGTTTAAAAACTTTTCTGATCAAATCCAGAAAACACAGTGCAAGAGAAAACTTCAATTTGATAATAAAAAAAGAATTAGGTCGATTGATTGACTCTTCGCTAAGCTGGAGAATCTGAAATGAGTGCGGGTGATTGTGTGATTGTGATTGTGCGGATAGAAGATATATAGAAGTATATCTTCTCGTATAGAAGATATATAGAAGTTTATCTTCTCGTATAGAAGATATATAGAAGTTTATCTTCTATGCGCACAATTATCCGTGTATAAGTTAAGATAGAAGATAGAAGATAGAAGTTTTTAATCAAAATCTTTTACAGGTGTGTTGTGTCCTTTCGGTGATCACTATCGGACTTCGTTGCGATCTTTATGCTGTTTTCTATGCCTCCTTTTTGATTGGTAACTTTTGGACGGTTGTTTAAAATACCGACTGGGGCTACTAGTGGTGAATTTATCGCATACACGAAATATATCAATCACAATACAACGACACACACAATACTAGGCTATATCTTAACTTAACCCACGTCATGACAGACGGCTCCCTAACCCTAAGCTCAATGGGGAACTAAATAGCTTTTTTGGTGGTGAAGGGAAGATGACGATGAAGGAGTGGCTTGTCACTTTAAAGAACTGGGGCCACAACCACCAGACTGCCCTCCAGAAAACCTCTCAACCCGAAGGAAAGGAAATCCGAAGGGGGTGACCATGTCGCATGTGGGGTTCGAACCCTCGACCTTCCGATTAAGATAAAAAGACACTTAACCAGTCAGCCACACGTGCTCATGTTTGAAGTTTGAAGTTTGAAGAACTTACTTAAGAGCTTAAGAACTTCAGAACTTCAGAACTTCAGAACTTCAGAACTTCAGAACTTCAGAACATGATTCTACTAGTTATAAAACAACAATACAAACTTAGAACTGAAACATTGATACAATTGTACAATTGTACAATGGTACAATGATCCAATTGTAGATGATGGTACAATTATACAATGATACAATTGTACAATGATACAAAAATCCAAAGTTGTCTTTTGTCTTTACATTGAGTATTTCTTTATCTTTAGTATGTCTTTGCATTGAGCGGCAACAAGTTGCTCGAATCTGGCCTCATTATCGCACAACATTGGCCGTTCTTCTCTCAATTCAATACATCTTTTGCGTCGGAATCCCGAAAGTTTTCTGTTTAGGTATTTTTGAGAAAAAAAAGTATTATTATTATTTACATATGCAACTTTTATATATTTAAGACGTCAAGAGTAAGCGTACTTTTCTTTTCATAGACTCCGATTCTATACAAATCTCTAGTAGTAGTGCACCCAAGCGAGTCGAGTTGGTGACGATTTTACAGTTCCCAAGCTTTCACAGAAGCTCAACACCCAAATCCCCCACTAGATCTCATCGTCAGCTCTATTCGATAGCTCTATTCGATAGCTCTATTCGATAGGCTCTCGAGATTTCGAGGAATTAGGCGACGATTTAGGCGACTCTCACGGTGCACTACTATTAGAGAAAATACGGTATATGCAAATTTGAGAAGAATGTAAATCAAAATGAAATCCATTTCAGCTTATCCATGGAGTTCTTGGGATCAAAATATGATTGAATGGCTCTTTTTACCGGATCACCTTATCGCCCCAAACCCTGTGAAACTCTGGGGTAAGCCTCTTTTCCCCCCTTCCCCTCACATCCTCGGTAGTATAGTGGTTAGTATCCGCGTCTGTCACATGCGAGACCCGGGTTCAATTCCCGGCCGGGGAGAATTTTTTTCTTTTTATTGAAATAATCAAGATTTTAGCTTTGTATAAGCTTTCTAGCTTTGTTTTAGCTTTATAGCTTTGCATAGGCTTTATACAAAGCTTATCTAAAGCTAAAATTCACTGCAAATACCAAAGACAGTCCAATAAGCCGATTTAGCCGATTTCTTTCAATTGTTGGCCGTTTCCTGTCAAGCTTACGTGTTCTCAATCGAACTCTCGAAAGATGCCACTTATTATCCAGGCGGTAACAAACATCAATAGCTAGGGAATGATTTGAAAGCTGAAAAACTTCAGGTCAAAACTCGTCCGTCGTTCCCTACCATTCTCTTTGGACCATCTGGTACTCAGCCATCAAAAAAATCCCGCTCGAAACACCAAAACGAAAGAAAGAACCAATAAAAGTACCGGATTTCATCAGTAAGCGGTAGGCTTTCGAGAAATTACAGTCTTCTTTCCTAGAAGTAAACGGATATGGACTAGAATTTGGGAGAAGTTAAAGAGAGTGGATCTTTTGAGCAGGATCTTTTGAGATCCTGCCATCTCTAACACCCTGACAGCCAGACTAAACTCCTCCAACGTATTAGAGGGAAGTCCCTGTGAAATCATCGACCTGAATTGCAGTTGTAGACCCGGAAGATCTGTATCTTTATTTAGAGTAGTACGATAAGACGAATAGATTACAAATGAGTGAAAGGGAAAGGGGGGACTCCAAGTGAGAGCCTGTCCTCCTAGGCAATCCAAAGGATCCAATCCAAGGGATCCAATCCAAAGGATCCAATCCAAAAGATCGCCTCTTCTCGGCGATGAAAGGGATAAGCACAAGGAGATCACATTTACTAAAGAATAGTATTCATTTAATAATAACAAATCATTCAATAACAATAGTAACTAAAATATCAATTTGGATCGAAGCAAGTTTTCTTTTCTTTTCTACTTTACGATTTTCGACTTCGACAGCGACTTTTCTAAACAATTCAATTTTCTAGACAAAACCTGCTTGACGAGGCAAAGAATTTCGTCTTTATTTACTTCTACTGGGTGACGTTGGGAGTGATTTTTGCGACCGGAACGAGTACAGGTTGGGGACTCTTCATCTTAATAATCAATTTTATCCAACCCATACCTGGGGTAAGCCTCTTTTCTCCTCTTCACCACGCATCCTCGGTAGTATAGTGGTTAGTATCCGCGTCTGTCACATGCGAGACCCGGGTTCAATTCCCGGCCGGGGAGAATTTTTTTCTTTTTATTGAAATAACAAAGATTTTAGCTTTGTATAAGCAAAAGCAAAAGAAATCATAAAGCGAATTTTATCCAAGCCAGGATAGAAGGCAGTTCTTTCAAGTCAAGGCTATTGACTAGGGCTAAAGACTAGGGTCAAGCCAGCAGTCAAGTCTTGAACAAGCGTGGATACTGGTCAAGGTGGAGTGAGAAGCCTTAGCCAACCCATACCTGGCTTCTAATCGGGATTAGTCCTGGTTTTGCCTGGTCTGACCTACAGACCCTAACTATTAATAGATTTACTTAATATAAAGTCAAAAAGAAAGTTTTTACATGGATCACTGTACCAAATGGAGTGCGTTTCTGTAATAATCTGAGAATAAAAGCATAAGCAGTTGGATAATGAATAAGAAAAGAGAAAAGGGACAAAAAAGCAAAACTTTTGCTGAGTCGAACTGAGGCTAAGTGGTCAAGAGGCTGAAGCAAAGACTGAAGCAAAGGCTGAAGCAAAGACTGAAGCAAAGGCTGAAGCAAAGACTGAAGCAAAGGTCAAGAGCAAAAAAGAACTGAGGCTAGGTGCCTTGACACTTGACCACGACGACACATCTCCAACGAAAGCAGGATCGTTGATACTCAGATAATTAGCGCAACACTTAAAAACTGCTTTAAACAAACTTTATAACGGATTTAAAAAATTTGAAAACCGAAAATTTGAATTCATTACACACAAATTATCTAGAATTTTCTCTAAAAGCTTTTGGCAAATAAAGAAGTTCTTTGATCATTACAGAAACGCATTCCATTTAGCACAGTTCTCTGATTATTACAGAAACGCACTCCATTTGGCACAGTGATTCATGTAAAAACTTTTCTTTATTTACCTTAGTAACTCTTCCTTAGTAAGTTTTTTTTATAAAAACCCTAAATCCCTTTCAGTAACTCTTTTCAATCTCGGCTATATTCTTGGTTGTTTCTTCTTTCTTTGGTTTGGTAATTCGCTCTTTTTACGACCAATGGCTACGGCTTTACAATTGTAAGTGTTTAATGATGTTTTACGCTTTAATAAGTTACCGTATTTTCTCTAATAGTAGTGCACTCTAAGCTTTGCCTAAATTCCTCGAAATCTCGTAAACCGCTTATCAGAACCTATCGATGTGGGTTGGGAAATGGAGCTGAAGATGAGATCTAGTGGGGATTTGAGGGTTGAGCTTCTGGGAAAGCTTGGGAACTGTAAAATAGTCATCAACTCGGCAACACCACGCAACCAACACCAACCTCCAACCCGGCTCGTAGGGGGTTCACTACTATTAGAGAAAATATGGTAGAATCGAGTCGAGTCGAGTAATTACTTACTCGCGAAGAACACATTTTACTCCTAGCCGCATCTACAGTATTCAGCTAATCTGCCGTATTCTCTAATAGTAGTGCATTGAGATGGAAGCCTTGAGCGTCGCCTAAATTCCTCGAAATCTCGAGAAGCGCTTATCAGAACCTATTGATGTGGTGTCGGAAAATGGAGCTGACGATGAGATCTAGTGGGGGATTTGAGTGTTGAGCTTCTGTGAAAGCTGGGGAACTGTAAAATGGTCACCAACTCGGCAACACCACGCAACCAACACCAACCGCGGTGCACCCCGGCGTGTTGGAGTTAGAGTAGAGAAAATTCGAGAAAGAGCCGAGTTGGAGTAGAGAAAGTTAGAGAAACTATTAGAGAAATACTATTAGAGAAAATACGGTATTCATTTTCGATCTCTTTGTCAATAGGTGTACAACGGAAAAACAAGATTTCACCACTTCAACGACTTAGCTTATCAGCTTTTTAAAACGAAAAAATAGAGCTGGAGAATTGAGCTTGAAAATAGAGCTTGAAAATCTCAACTCGTGTAGTAAGAAAGACTGAAAATGATGTTGTTAAAGTGATTAAATCTTGTTTTTTCGTTGTATACCTATTGAAAATGAGAATGTAAATGAATAGTCCCTGTCAAAGAAAAGATGGGATAAATTGAATGATTTAGATGGGACACATTGATTTTCTACAATGTTTCAGTGATTTTTGTGAAAATCTCGCTACAGGTAGATTTGAAATTGAGATTTTCAACTCCATTTCAAATTTGTAAACATTTTTTTTCTATCTAGGTTGTTGGCTGTGTCTACATGTCACAATTATACAAGAATTTCTGCTGGATGTTGCAATTGTTCGGGATCGCTTGCCTCAAAACGGGATTGGATCCGAAATTGAGTGAATGAGACTTGCAAAAGCTTTTGATCTTTTTTTCTTTTGTAGTTGTCAAAAGAGAGATTCTCGGAGAATGCGATGTGCCGCATAGTGAAGCCGGCATTTTCTATGATGGATTATGTTTTGCATTCCTATTGATTCAAGTAAGAATTGGTATAAATCAAGAAATTCTGGTCGTTGGCCAGAAGCTGAGGGTTTTGATTTATTCCAACGACTTTTTATTCCAACAACTTTGACAAAGTGACGTCATAAATGAGAGAAAAAGATCTATAAATTTGTATAGAGATCATAGAGATTAGTTAAAGTGAAAGGATCTTCACTTTAAATTGGTTCCAATACGGTTTCAATACGGTTCCAATACGGTTCCAATACCGTTCCTTTTACGGCTCCAATACGGCTCCAATACGGTTCCAATACCGTTTCTTTTACGGCTCCAATACGGTTCCAATACGGTTCCAATACCGTTCCTTTTACGGTTCCAATACGGTTCCAATACCGTTCCTTTTACGGCTCCAATACGGTTCCAATACGGTTCCAATACCGTTCCTTTTACGGCTCCAATACGGCTCCAATACGGTTCCTTTTACGGCTCCAATACGGTTCCAATACGGTTCCAATACCGTTCCTTTTACGGCTCCAATACGATTCCAATATGGTTCCAACATCTTTAAACACTTTTAAAGTCATTTTTCAAAGATTTTTAACTTTTTATAGTGAGCACTTAAGGCTTTAGCTAAAAAAAGCCAAAAATATTTAAAATCTAACCTTTTTGCCGATTTTCTAGGCTTGATCTTTGATTTCTAAAGTTCTAAAGTTCATCTTCTTCTTATTTTTTTAAATTCTAGCATTTATTCAAGAATTGATTTAGTTTTTGGATAGAATTCGAATAAATAAACGAAATAAAACTACAGAGTCGATATTTAACGACTTCTTTTTGGTAGATTCGCTCGCAAGCGCCAAATTCAATCCTAATGTGTAAAGTGTTATATAAAATATTGAAGCCCTGAATCTTGGCTACATTTACCTATTAGAAGTTGCCCAATTGAAGTTGTAGAACTCATTTTACAAGCTCTTGAATGAGCGCTAGTTGATCGCCATTTACTACTGTCAGAAAAAGTTTTTCGCTTTTTATTTTATGTTCAAAATATTATTTAACACTATTTAATAATATTAAACCTATTTTTGATCATACCATTTACTAAAATTTAATTTGAAATCAAATTCCTTTGGTGGTCCAAGGAAAGAAGTGAAAATTGGGTATTTTTCGATGTTCAATTCAGCTAGTAGTATTCAAGGGCTTGTAAAATGAGTTCTACAACTCCAATTGAGAAACTTCTAATAGGTAAATGTAGCCAAGATTCAGGGCTTCAATGTTTTATATAGCACTTTACACATTAGGATTGAAGTTGGCGCTTGCGAGCGAATCTACCAGAAAGAAGTCGTAAATACTGTTTTTAGACGATTTTCATAGAAATTTGCATTTAATCTATTTTAGTCGATGAACAATGATGAAAAAAATACCAAAGTCTTCACTATATCAAATGATTTTCAACTTTAGCGTCGAATCTTTCTCTCCGAGTACTTCAAACATGTGATCGCTGAGTATAAATCGCAGCGTTTCTTCGCGAGCCGGTAGATTTCAATCAAGATTTACAATAAATACACTAAACTAGCTATTCTTAATATATTTAAACTTAAATCTGTTAATCAAATTGTTTCAGTGGAGCAGAATTGATTGCCAAGATCACTCTAAAAGACATCAAGGACGCTGAAGAAGCTGAGGCACAAATGCTAGCTCAGGTCAGGTTTTGAGTTAAAAGTTTTGATTCAGATTTGATTCAGATTAAGACCTAGATTTAGATCTGGTTTAAGATCTGGTTTAAGGTCTAGTTTAAGATCTGGTTTAAGATCTAGATTAAGATCTAGTTTAAGATCTAGATTTAGATCCAGATTTAGATCTAGATTTAGATCTAGATTAAGAGCTAGATTTAGATCTAGATTCAGATCTAGATTAAGAGCTAGATTTAGATCTAGTTTAAGATCTGGCTTAAGATCTAGATTAAGAGCTAGATTTTTTTTATTTATTAAAATTAAATTTTAATTTAATAAAAATAAAAAAAAAATTTTAATATAAATTTATATAAAAAAAAAAAAAAAAAATTTAAAATTTTTTTAAAATATAATTTAAAAATTAAATTAAAATATAGTTTAAGATCTAGATTTAGATCTAGATTTAGATCTAGATTAAGATCTAGATCTAATCTAATTTTAATTCTAACTCTAGATAATATTAAGAAATTGAAATCGAAGATTGAAATCAATTTTGAAATCAATTTCAGGTCCGCAAAAAGGTCGAGGGAGTCCGAGTGAGGAATGAAACCGATAAAAAGACGTTGAAAGAGAAAGGTTTTAGAAGAAAAAGATGGAGAGATCAAGAAAAAACTAATAAAAACTAATAAAAACTAATTTTATTAGTAGTTAACATATATATTCAGCAGACTGTAACAAGATAGTGACTTCAGTGTCGAGTGGAGATGAGTTGAGTCCCACTGAAGCCTCGCCGAATGCACCGTCGATCTCGATTCAAAGTAAATGAATTTCTTTGATTTTCAAACAATCTTGCTTAGTTTAAATTCAGATTTAGTTAGTTTAGAGATTAAAATTTTATCTTCTTACTCTTCTTTCTCTTCTTACTCTTCTTACTATCAGTTTTCGGCTCTTGTGCAGTTTTCGGGGATTTTGAACGGATCGTCACGCTTTGAAGACCTATAACTTTGTCCAGAGACAATATTATTGCTAAATTTTTATATCATTGTATAGAGGACATTTCAGGCTTTTAAATAATACCAAATAAAGCTTGATTGAATAATCCAATCCAAAAAAATCAAACCAAACTCTGAGCAATGAGGTCTATCCGACTCGCGTCTCATTTCGCTTGGTTTACATGGGAATGAAAAACTTGGTCAAGCTTTATTTGGTATTATTTAAAAGCCTGAAATGTCTTCTCTATAATGATATAAAAAGTTAGCCGAAATATAACCTCTGGACAAAGTTATCGGTCTTCAAAGTGTGACAACCCGTTCAAAATACCCGGAAACTACACAAGAGCCTAGTTTTCTAATAAAATCCATTTCCAGGAGTGGATACACCAAAAGAAAGCACTCCTCCATCACCGATAATGACCGACAATGGAGCTTTAATCTCACTAAATGTACAAGAAGAGAAAAAAGTGCATTTTAAAAACATTTCCTAAACTATTGTTTTAAAAAAACTACTATTGAAAAAAAAAACAATAGATTCAAAGCTAATTTCCATTCGATTAGCCTAATTAGGATTATATTTTAGTATCATTCAAGCACAAAGCTCAGTTGACTGATTGAGCTATTGATTGAGCTATTGATCTAGCTATTCACTGAGCGTTGTACTTTTAAAATTTGGCTCAATGTAGATTGATCGTTTGGTTACAGCTGTAATATCCAGACTAATTATTTTCATCACAGGATCCTCGAGAATCACTCAAACCCTCGGTTGACTTTGCTGTTGATTATTCACCGAAAACAACTCCGAAAACTGGCACGAGAATGAGCAAAAGTATTCCACAACAAAGGGGATTGCCATTGAATCCATTGAAGTGAGTGGAGTGTTGTTGAAGTCATCGATTAGACACTAGACAAGCTTTCCATTAGACAAGCTTTCTATTAGACAAGCCATTAGACAAGCCATTAGACAAGCTTTCCATTAGACAATCTTTCTATTAGACAAGCTTTCTATTAGACAAGCTTTCCATTAGACAAGCTTCAGATATCAAAGCTAAAAGCTAATATGCTGATATCCATCATATGCTTATATCAAAGCTAAAAGCTGATAATCTATACTGAGTCATTTTAGACCCCGTACTTCATCTGATGAACAACAAGATGATGAATGGTAAGAAAAGAAATTCTTTGTTCTTGAGAAGTTCTTTCGTTTTAGGTACACTTCAACAACTCCACAAAAAGAGAAAATATTCGATGAGAAGATTATTGAAAAAGAGGGAGGAGTCAAAGGATTAGGGCCACTGCAATTACTTCATTTCGTTTTCTCGAAGGGATCTTTTAGAGAAGCGTTAAGGGTTGGTTATCTATGTAAACGTTAAGTTAAACTTTAACTTTAACTGTAACTGTAACTGTAACTGTAACTCTAACTCTAACTTTAACTGTAACTCTAACTGTAACTGTAACTCTAACTCTAACTCTAACTGTAACTGTAACTGTAACTGTAACTGTAACTTTAAATTTAACTTTAACTGTAACTGTACCTTTAACTGTAACTTTAGCTGTAACTGTAACTGTAACTCTAACTGTAACTGTAACTTTAACTGTAACTTTAGCTGTAACTGTAACTGTAACTCTAACTGTAACTGTAACTTTAACTAATTTAAAGCTTGATAAGTTAGTAGACTTGCTAAACTTGAAGATTTAACTAACGCCAATAGTTATTGATTTGTTGAAGATTTTGGTTTGGTTGAAGTTCAATTCAAGATTCAACTTTTCTCTAGGAATCCCGCAAAATCGAGGCCACTCACGAGAAACTCGAAAAGGAAATGGAGCAAACATTTGGAAAAGCCGATCACGAGGTGAGTTGGAAGCAAAATTTTGGAAGTTAGAAGCAAAATTTTGAAAAATTTTGAAAATTTTGAAAATAAAACAATTCTTAGGCGATTCGTCGGGCAATCTTTAGCCAAAAGCAGAAAAAACCAAAAGCCGATTACGACGAAGAAACGTTTCACGATCCGTACTCATCTGGAAGAGGTAAATCATGAATTCTTGCTTAAAAGAGATGATTATTTGAATGAATTTTGATGTTTTTTCTTTACCCAAACCCAATTTACTTAGTTATTTACAAATTTTTTACAATTTTTTACAATTCTCTTTGATTTTTATGGAGTTTCGAGTTGAAAAAATCCGTTTTCGAATGAAAAAATCCGTTTTTGAATGAAAAAATCCGTTTTCAAACAAGTTTTCTATAAGTTTTCTATAGTTTTCTCTATTGAATTGATTGTTTGATTTTACATCTTGAGTTATAGACCATCTAAGTTGATCAACTCTTCCAGGTAGCTAGTTCAACTTTGACCGAGATTTTCTCTATGTTCTTACAGATGAATATACAAAACAAACTCTACTTTTCTATAGCCAAATTTCATGAAGATTCTTTTAAAAGCAACTAAAAGTCCATTCAACTGCTATACCTCGAGTTCTAGACCATCCAAGCTGATCGACTTTTCCAAGTAGGTAGTTCAACTTTGACCGAGATTTTCTCTATGTTTTTATATCTGAGTTTACAAAACGAACCCTACTTTTCTATAGCCAAATTTCATGAGGATTATTTTAAAACAAACCTGAAGTCGATCTGATAATTGGAAGTCGAGTTCTTGAATAAAATAGACAAGTGCGCTAAAGTCATCATTTACATTCAATAAATATAAATAATTCATTTAAAGAGAAATAATTATAATAGAATCGATCGAATTTTGTAATTATGTAATTATAAAATGATTTTTAGAAGACACTGATGCGGAAGCGAGAAGAAAATCGACAATTCCACGAGCGCCTTTGAGTCAGAATTTGAAAATTAATCTTTTTAAAGTTAAATTTGAATCAAAAATTATTGTTTGAAAACAAAAGATTACAAAAATTGATTTTAGAATGGTTAGAATGGGTTTAAATGGGTTTAAATGGCTTTTAAATTCCCTCCAATTCAGATGTGAGTGCTGCTCGTCGCACTGTGAGTGAGGTCACTGCTCCGGGCGTCTCGTTCAGCATTGATTCACAGGTTTTTCACAAGATACTTATTCAATTAAGTTCTACGTTTTTATCTACTAAATACTAGAAAAACCTTATTAGTTTATTTATTATGTGATCAGCAAAAAGCCAGACAAACTAGAACTAGAAAAACTAGAACCAAAAAACTAGAACCAGAAAAACGGCTGACACCTGGTTTTTCTGGCTTTTCGGCTAGCCAATATCTTTTAAGAATTGGGTAATTGAGTTTAATTCACTGGCGCAAGTCGTTTAAGAGCGCATTTTTCTGATCAAAAGTTGCTGTCAAAGGCGTAGACAGGACTCACTCTAACGGACGTCACTCTAACGACCGGACCTCCTCGAGACTACCCCCAATCAATTTCCGATCAAGGGATTATATTCTTTAAAGATTTCAGACTACAAAACTGTCTAAACAGTTTTTAAAAAAAATTCAAAGACCTCAAGATTTTTGCATTTTAGTGCAAAAATTTCGAAAAAACGAGTTTTTAGGCATGAATAATCGATTTTACAAAGTTAATGCTATGATTTTCGGAAAGTTGAGGAAATTTGACTAGGTGGACAATATAATAAACAATATAAAAAACAATTGGCCATCTAGTTTTCGAAATTTTCGCATTTGAAGTTAGCCGTTTTCACTTTTTTGAGTTTTTTCAATTTTTGATCGCGAAACTCTTGAGCTCTTTGAATTTTTTCAAAAAACTATTTAAACAGTTTTGTAGCCTGAAATCTTTGAAGAATATAATTCCTTGGTCGGAAATTGATTGGCGATAGTCTCGAGGAGATCCGACCGTTAGACTGAAAGTCACGAAATCCTGTCTACGCGTGTCTGGTTGCTGTCACCATCGTGTCGTCGACAGCGCGCTTGGCTATAGCCCAATCGATCCTGGTTCGACCCCCCCGTTGTGCCACTTAACTTGAAATTTTTGAATTTTTTATATCAAATAACAGAACTATATTATATTTTGAGACTTTTAAAGAGATTTCGGTTTTTTTTTTGTTATAAAGACGGCTGAGTAAAAGCCCGTACGGATTAGTCTGGGATTTAAAAGTCTAGGAGTCGCGGGAGCCCTTAAAGTCTGGGATTTAAAAGTCTAGAAGTCTGAAAGTCTTTAAAAGTCTGGGATTTTAAAGTCTAGAAGTCTGGGAATCCTTAAAGGTCTGGGATTTAAGAGTCTAGAAGTCTGAAAGTCTTTAAAAGTCTGGGATTTAAAAGTCTAGAAGTCTAGGAGTCCTTACAAGTCTGGGATTTAAAGGTCTAGAAGTCTGGGAGTCCTTAAAAGTCTGGGATTTAAAGGTCTAGAAGTCTGGGAGTTCCTAAAAGTCTGGGATTTAAAAGCTTTCAGACTGGAGAAGGTCATTCGGGCAGCTCATCGCCGATCAAAGAAACAATGGAGAATCTGGCAGCTATGGTTATTGAGGTGAGTTTAGAATTTAGAAAATAAGAAATAACATATTCTATAGATAAATTATAGTTTAATTTCCAGGAAGAGTTAGACGAAGAAGAGCAAGAAACTGAAACGCGTAAGAAAATCCGGGCTCGGATGAGAGCGAGTCGGTTGTATCAATGTAAGTTGAGGAAAGTTTTGTTAAACATTCAATTTCTAAACAATTCAAAACAATTCTAAAGATTTCTAAACAATTCTAGACAATTCTAAACAATTCTAGACAATTTTCACGTTTTAATATCGAATTCAAATTCAATTCCAGATTACATTTTCATCAAAGAATGGCTGAGGGATTTGTGGCATTTTAATCTAATGTTTTGCGATGCAGTGATCGAGTCAACAATTCAAAATTTGATGATACTAAGCAGGGATTATCGGTTTGTTTAATCTAAAGGATAAATTTCTCAAAAAAATTCAAAGAAAAACTAAACTATTATAGTCATTTGATAGCGTTGACCCTTCTCTTGAAATCTACTATCAATTTATCAAGGACTTTCTGTGAAATGTATAACTAAAGTTCTTAAAAACGAGTTAACACGAGAAAATCATCGTCATTCGTAAAGCTTATGTCATTAGTCGTCATTAGTCTCACTACAGTACGTTTCGTACAAGTACTACAGTACTACACTGTAGTACTTGTACTGTACAAGGACTACAGCGTACTGTACAAGGACTACAGTGTACTGTACAAGGACTACAGTGTACTGGACAAGTACTACAGCGTGCTGTACAAGGACTACAGTGTACTGTACAAGTACTACAGTGTACTGTACAAGTACTACAGTGTACTGTACAAGTACTACAGCGTGCTGTACAAGTACTACAGCGTGCTGTACAAGTACTACAGTACTACACTGTACGAAACGTACTTGTGAATTCGTCACTGCAGTACGTTTCGTTTTGAATGTGTTACTCAAACTCAAACTTTAAAAAAAACGTTCAGATATGTGGCTAAAATCTTGACAACGGAGAAACGGTTGCACAAAGAGTTGGCTGATGAATCGGTGAGGAAATTTGAGAATTGAGAAATCGAAATTGAAAGAAATTGAAAGAAATTGAACGAAAAACCTTGATTTTAGGATGACGAACGATTGCTATCTGCGGTGCAATTGGAGAGAAAGAGAAGCTTTCTGAAATTTCAGGTACCGTTTAATCGCGTTTAATTAGATGAAAAGTGATTTTAGATCGAAAATCGAAAAGCCTCGACAGTCGTCGGGATTGAGGATCAAGATATGCAAAAATTACATAATGCAATTGAAGCGGAAAGCACGTTAGTTTCAATTATTGTCAAAAAAAACAAAAGAGCTTTTAAAAAAGCTTTTCAGGAAAGAGGCGAACATCATCGATTTGTTGGATAACACAGAGATTTCGGAAAAAGAATCGATCATTCCGAAGGTGGATTTAAAGTTTATATGGATTTACATCTCAATATAGGGACAATTTTTGTACTAAAAGATCGTACTACAATACCGTAATACATAACCGTACTATAATACCGTACTATAATGCCGTACTACATAACCGTACTACATAACCGTACTACTAGACCGTAATATAATACCGTACTACAAAAGCGTACTCCAAGCCCGTACTACAATACCGTACTATAATGCCGTACTACATAACCGTACTACAAGACCGTACTATAATACCGTACTATAATGCCGTACTACATAACCGTACTACAAGACCGTACTATAATACCGTACTTTAATGCCGTACTACATAACCGTACTACAAGACCGTACTATAATGCCGTACTACATAACCGTACTACAAGACCGTACTATAATACCGTACTACATAACCGTACTACATAACCGTACTATAATACCGTACTACAATACCTTTAAATTCCCAAATTCCAGTCTGACATCCAAAGTGAATACAAATTGATTCGTTTAATTCGCGCTTTCTACTATGCGTTGATGTCGAAATCGGAATTTCTTTGCTATTTAATGATCGTGCTCAATCATATGAGGTGAGAAAAAGAAATAAGTGACGACACTCTATAGACTGTCCCAGTCATCGAACGGATGACTGAATTGGATGACTTAAAAAGAATGGCTTTGCTTTAAATCAAGCAAAACCCCAACCAATACGTCTAGTGTTGTCCTGGATTTGTATAGCACACAAATAAGAGCTCCTTTTCAGCACAGCGTCAATGCTTTCAATGCCGCTTCCCTTAATGACCCTTCTCTGGGGAACACTCACCGTTCCCCGGCCTACAAAACGCTTTTGGATCACAATCATCACATATACCGAAGTAAAAGATCGATAAAAATAAGTAATTATTGAAAATTAGGTGATGGTTGTCGCGAAAACGATCTTTCAATTCGGTTTTTTTCCATGGAATGGCCAGACATCAGTCGATCCGATGTGGCCGCCAAGATTGTTGGGAATTGGTGCTTGTTTAGACTTATATAAATATATATATGTCGTAGCCGTTTACGAAATTCAGCCGCTAACGAATGAGGATATTTCCGGGCATCCAATCAAAAAGTCACCCACATAAAAAATGTTCATAATACATATATTTTATAATAAATTTTTGAAATTAGCTCATTTGGTTCAGTAGAAAAATTTTTTTTGACCCCCCAAAGTTTAGGTTGAAAAATGGCCATAAAAGATTTTCTACTCAGCCAAAAAACTTGCCTAATAGCTCATTTTGTAGCCAATTTGATGTAGTTTCTTAAAGTAAAGCCATCTAAAGCAATTTTTCGTTGAAAGTAGGAGAAAGAGGGCGAGGAACAAATTCAGGGCACTTCTCAAATGTGAAAACGGCGACCGAGTTCAACTGAAGTCGTTCCTCGCCCTCTTTCTCCTAGCTTTGAAAAACAAATGTTCAATGTAGCTTCACTTTAAGAAACTACATCAAATTGGCTACAAAATGAGCTATTAGGCAAGTTTTTTGGCTGAGTAGAAAATTTTTTATAGCCATTTTTGAACCTAAACTTTGGGGGCTCAAAAAATTTTTTCTACTCAACCAAATGAGCTAATTTCAAAAATTTATTATAAAATATATGTATTATGAACATTTTTTACGTGGGTGACTTTTTGATTGGATGCCCGGAAATAGCCTCATTCGTTAGCGGCTGAATTTCGTAAACGGCTATGACATACAGGGTGCGTCATAATTATTGCAACAAGATACTCAAGGCATTGCACACCAAGAAGTTTCACTGGAAGAAGATTTTTAAACAGAAATAGCTTTATTTAACAGTAACAAATAAGGAAACAAGAGATCATTCGATATGACCGCCTTTTGCCTTGATAACAGCCCTTAATCGGTTCGGATATGCCTCCACTCCGGCCCGAATGTCATCTTGAGGAGTCGCCTTCCATCCTTTGGTCAAAGACTTCTTCAAAGAATCCAAACTTGTGTGTTTTCGAGAGCAGACATTAGCCTCTAAGATTGCCCAAATGGAAAAGTCCATCACATTGAGATCCGGTGAGTTTGGAGGCCATTCATCCTTGGTGATCACTGACACTGGCCATTCATCCTTGGTGATCACTGACACTGGCCATTCATCCTTGGTGATCACTGACACTGGCCATTCATCCTTGGTGATCACTGACACTGGCCATTCATCCTTGGTGATCACTGGCCACACACCACTCCTGAACCGTCTTCTTCATGTGAGCGGGAGGCAATTAGGCAAGAATAAAGAACGCAACACAACAAAAAAAGGGGGCAAAAAAATAAGAAAGCTGTTTGGAAAACGGTCTTTGAACTCTTGTTGCAATAATTATGACGCACCCTATATATAACTTTAAAAAAAACCTAATAAACTAAACTAACAATAAAACGATTCAATTTCAATCAGAATTTCCTTCAGAATTTGAAAGTTTTCTTTTAGAAAAACGCGACAAATATGCGGCTTGGGATTTAGCGTTGCTGATGTGCGTTTTCTTTCATCGTTCGATCTTGATGGTAAATTTGAAGAAAGTAAAAGATATTTAAGCAATTAAAGAGCTTAAAGAGCTTAAAGAGCTTAAAGAACTTAAAGAACTTAAATATTAATCAATTTTCAATCGATTTTCAATAGAAATTGATTAGTTTATTGAAAATTTCTTTATTCTAATCGTTTTTTATTGAAAACCAAGCCGATGAAAGGCTTGAACTAAGCCAGTAACTTCAAATTTTAGATTAAATACATTTTCTGTTTTCTGTAAACAATTTTGACTTTTTTCCTTAACCAATTGAAATTTTTTAATTAAAATAAGTAAAACAGTTAAGAATTAATTAAATTTTCATCAAAAATCTCAATCTTCCCTTTCCCTAATTGACAAAAACCCCCCGCGAACACGCCCTCACATCAGCCCGGTTAGCTCAGTCGGTAGAGCACCAGACTCTTAATCTGGCTGTCGCGGGTTCGAGCCCCGCATCGGGCTTTGATTTTTGAAATCATCACATTTTTAGAGTCTAGTTTTTCTAAATTCTTTTGAAACATTGACATCAAGTAGAGACACAATTTTCTGTCATTTCCCAGGCTAATTTTCTGTCATTTCGATTTTCGAAGTGACTCTTAATCAAAGCTTTGTCTAATTGATCAAACAATCAATCAAATCAATCAATCAAAACAATCAAATCAATCAATCAAATCAATCAATCAATTAAATTTAGAATTAGATGTTTATAAACATTCATTTTTTTAAGGCAAACGGCTTATGGGAACCGCAAATCAGTGAAGCGGAGATCATGCGGAAATTGGAAAGGAAAAGGCTGAAGGTTTGTGGGGAAAAGAGTTAGATAAAAAGTTCGATAAAAAGCTAGATAAACAATCTTAAATCCTTATTTATTTTTAAATAATCTATATAAGATTTTCTTCTTTTCAAAGCAAACCTTTCTCTAGCCGATTAAAGCTCGCTCAGTGTCAAGGTATTTTGAGGTTTGTGCAATCCAGAAATCCAGATTTTGTCAAGTATTGGTGTGAAAAGTGAAAAAAAACATTTCAACTTTTAATTAACTTTTAATTAAGATCAAAAATTGCAGGTTGAATCAGCGGCCACCTCGAGACGGCCCTCGATTGCTACTCTGGCTTCGGAGTTGAGAAGTACCTCGGATTTGAGACACATTGCCGAGTTGGGAAGGGAGAGGCTGAAGAATCGGTGCGTGAGTTCGATTTTCGGAGCATTTTGATGGATTTACGCTTTGCATATTCAGCTATCGTAAGCTCACAAGATCTTTATCTTAATCTTAGTCTACCGTAACTGTCAGAGATCGGGTTACGGTAGGTTAGCAAAGCCCTATCTTGTCTGTAACCTACCGTAACCAGTCAAGATTGAAGGCTGGGTTACGGTAGCTTATCTGTCTGTAATCTTGTCTGTAACCTACCGTAGCCAATCAAGATTAAAAGCTAGGTTACAAATCACGATATCTGGGCTACGGTATCTTGACCGGATTACAGCGTTAAAGGCTTTATAGATAGCTCTTAGATTTTCACGTTTCCTTTCAAATTTTCCATGCTACAGTAATCTTTAAGATGATAGAAGCCTGGATTACGGTAGATTCAAAAGTTAAACGCTGAGCATTTCGATTCCGATCATTCTGTGCTGCTTTTGATCAATTCGAATCTTTTATTTAGAATTTTTAAAGTGCACTTGAATCAAAAAAACCTCAAATTTCTGTACAAATTGAAAGCAAAATCACCCGTTAAAAGTTTGCAAAAAGCACAAAAGAAAAGCCTAAGCCGAAGATTGAGCCTGAGCCTAAGCCTGAGCCTAAGCCGAAGCCTGAGCCTAAGCCTGAGCCTAAGCCTGAGCCTAAGCCTGAGCCTAAGCCGAAGCCTGAGCCTAAGCCTGAGCCTAAGCCTGAGCCTAAGCCTGAGCCTAAGCCTGAGCCTAAGCCTAAGCCTAAGCCTAAGCCTAGGCCTGAGCCTAAGCCTAAGCCTAAGCCTAAGCCTAAGCCTAAGCCTAAGCCTAAGCCTGAGCCTAAGCCTGAGCCTAAGCCGAAGCCAAACCCAAAGCTTAAACGGCAATAAAATCGAAATTTTCTCGCAATGTGAACAAAATTCCGTTGACAATCAGCGAGCTCGCTGTCCACATCAAACGCAACGTTGAACCCTAAAATTCATAAAAATAAGAGAAAATCTTAAGCTTTCCTTATTTCCTTAAGCTTTTATTGATCTTTTTCCTTTTAAAAATCGAAATCCCTTACCGTTTGCCGGTCTCTTTTCAACTCAAAAAGTCGTCCACAAGGCCGATGCTCGTTGTCCAATAAAATTTTCGTCTCAAACTTTTGACCACTATAATAGATTAGATTTATTGATTTCTAGATTAGATTTATCTGTTTCTAGATTAGAGTTATTGATTTCTAGACTAGATTTATCGATTTCTAGATTAGCTTAGCTATTTCTAGATTAGATTTATCGATTTCTAGACTAGTTTTATCTATTTCTAGACTAGATTTATCGATTTCTAGATTAGATTTATCGATTTCTAACTAAGTAGCTTTTAATTAGATCCTCTTTTTTTGCCTTTACTCACCTAAAAACGAGAATCTCATTCAATAAATCCGTTTTACAGGGAATATTCCAGCCAAGATTTGCGTCGAAATCACGAGCTCCTTTTAGGAAATCCTAAATTTATCAATATCAAATTTATCAATATCTATTCAATTCTTGATTTATAACCTACCGTAATCAAGCCTTTCAATGTCTCATTGTTGATTTCTATTGGGATATTTGTCGAGAAAAACGGAGCCTTAATTGAAGTGAGACAAACGGAGGGAAGAGGAGATTTTGAAGCGCTTTTTCGGAACACCATCACATCCAATTCTGTGGTTGATCTAAAGGAAACGTTGAAAAATGAAATTAACTAGCTTTTAGTCTTCAAATAATAGCACTACTTTAACAAGTGAAGACTATTTTAAGCATAAAACAAGTGAACAAGTGAACACGTGAACCAGCTAAACCATTCAACTATTCACAAGGTTCAAGTGAATTTTAAACGTACTCTAAAATACTTTAAAATATCAAGGATTCTTTTAAAAGCAATCCAGGCATACATTGAGCAATCTAGACACCGTATTCTACAAAGTTATTCAAGGCTATAGTTAATTTATCGTTAAGCTAGGCGAGGCAAAGCGAAGAATAAGCTAGAGCTGGGTTTGGCTTGGATTCTTAGACTCAAATAAATCAATTGCAATTAGACAATCCTTGGACTGAATTAGAACATTCTTATAAATATCCTCGTCGTTTTTTTTTTCAGTTTATCTCTCCTTACTTGAAAGCTTTTGTTTCATAAATCGCTTTAGTCACATGTCGATTCGTTTCTGCGCGATAAACGATCCTTTTTGGGGTGACTGAATTCAGGAATTTCTCAACGATTTTCACATTCGCACTCCCGCAATTCAACTCCAGAAATTCTAGCTAAAAAAGCTCTTTTAAACAATGGAAAAGAACTCAGACCTTGCATTGAAATCGTTGAATTTTTTGAGTGAGCTTGTAGAGAAGATCTGATGAACATTGATACTGAAAAAGGAAACTTTTATAGAAATTTGTGTACAGCTTGTACAAGTACAAATACAAGTACAAGTACAAGCATGTACAAGTACAAGTACAAGCACGTACAAGTACAAGTACAAGCACGTAAAAGTACTTACAGGTACGTACAAGTACGGATACAAGTACGGATACAAGTACAAGTACAGGTAAGTACGTACAAGTACGTACAAATACAAGTACGTACAAATACAAGTATGTACAAGTACGTACAAATACAAGTATGTACAAGTACGTACAAATACAAGCAAGTACAAGTACGTACAAATACAAGCAAGTACAAGTACGTACAAATACAAGCAAGTACAAGTACGTACAAATACAAGTATGTACAAGTACGTACAAATACAAGTATGTACAAGTACGTACAAATACAAGCAAGTACAAGTACGTACAAATACAAGCAAGTACAAGTACATACAAATACAAGCAAGTACAAGCAAGTAAAGTACAAGTACAGTAGTAATTGTCTTAAAAATAATAGTTGTCTTAGCCGTAAATCTTAAACTCACAATCGATAGTGAAATTGGATTGCAAGCGGACAAAATCTCGCCAAGATATTCATCGAATACTTCGTGGAAAGATCTGCAAATCTTTTTGTCAAAAATTAAGATTTATCCCATTTTCATTCCATTTTCTAATTTTCTTTTAGTTTCGAAAAAAATCCTTCCACACCATCTTTCTTTTCCTTTTAATCATCTCACAATTTCACAATTTTCACAATCACTTCACAATCCTTAGCAAAAAAAAACCCCCATAAAATCTTTTAATGATTGATTGATTGATTCGATTGATTTTATTGAGAGAAAAGAGCTATTTTTGAGAACTCTCGTTGACTTTTAAAGGTTTGAAAAGCTCAAAAAAACGAGAGAAAATGGAGAAGATGGAGAAGTTGAAGGGAAAACTTTCGAAAATCCTTTTCAATTTTTGATTTTTAGACTTCAATTTTCTTTATTGGACTTTATTGGACTTTATATTTTGTTAGATGAGTGATGGAGTCCGTATTTTCCTTTGAGAACTTATCATATGGCTTATCACAACACGTGACTCCGAAAGAATGAAATGGAAGGGAAAAATGTAAAAATGGAATGTAGACTTTTCTCTATTTTCTCTATTTTATTGGGGGATTCCCCAGGAAATGGGAAAAGAAATTCGAGAACAAATAGGAAATGATTTGATGATGATTTAAAAAATTTTGGTAATGACTAGCTGAGCTTCTCGGTTTGGGGTTTTTTTTGTTTGTGCTAGAGCCATTTTGATAGTTTATTAGTCTAAATTTGAGCAATTCGCGCACAAAATAGTCAATAGGTAGCCTAAATATTTCATCAAATGTAGGCCATGAGCCATGCCATGAGCATGAGCTTCAAATTTAGGCCATGAGCTTCAAATGTATGCCATGAGCTTCAAATGTAGGCCATGAGCATGAGCTTTTCGTTTTGTTTCGTTTTTTGATGTTGAGCTTTGAAATATGTTGAAATTTTGAGTGTTCAATGGATAGAGATTGGAGGGGAAAAGGTTGGAAATATGTAAAGCTTTTAAAATTGGTTTAAAATTGGTTTAAAATTGGTTTAAAATAGGTTTAGAATAGGTTTAAAATTGCTTTTATAATAGGTTTATAATAGCTTTATAATAGCTTTAGAAAAGCTTTAGAATAGCTTTAGAATAGGTTTAGAATAGCTTTAAAAGCTGTAAAGCTTTTAAAATAGGTTTAAAATAGGTTTAAAATAGGTTTAAAATAGCTCTAAAATAACTCTAAAATAACTCTAAAATAACTCTAAAATAACTCTAAAATAACTCTAAAATAACTCTAAAATAACTCTAGAATAGCTTTAAACTAGCTCTAAAATAGCTCTAAAATGGCTTTAGAATAGGTTTAGAATAGCTTTAAAATAGCTTTAAAATATGTAAAGCTTTTAAAATGGCTTTAAAATAGGTTTAAAATAGGTTTAAAATTGCTCTAAAATAGCTCTAAAATAGCTTTCATAATAGCTTTAGAATAGCTTTAGAATAGCTTTATAATAGCTTTAAAATATGTAAAGCTTTTAAAACAGCTTTAAAATAGCTCTAAAACAGCTTTAGAATGGGTTTAAAATAGCTTTAAAATATGTAAATCTTCGTGCAAAAAATGTACCTGACCATTACAGGGTTTTCTCTTTTCTGTACGATTTTGTACTTTTTCCAATCGCCAATCGCTGGGAATTGAATGGGAAATGATGAGAAATCAGAGGACAATCTGAAAAGGGCTTTTGAAAATTTGCATTCAATCATTTTTCATCGATCCTTTGACTCAAATATCATCGACTTTCATCGATTCAAATATTTGATTATTTGAGCCGAGTAAAAGTCAACGATTGTGAATTTGACAAGAGAAAAACATTGACTTTAAACAAATTTGCAATCGCAATCGTTAAACAAACGCGAATCTTCTTTAATTCTATTAAAAGATAAATTTCAAATTCAAATTCAAATCAAAATGAATTGAGGATCCTCAATTCATTTTTCTTTCAAGTAAACCCGATTTCTCAAAAAGTTTAAGCTAATTTTTGCCTTCAACTCACTGAAACTCTTGACTCCTCTTGAAACCGCCATTTTTCCGATCGCTTTTCCGAATTGAAATCGACATCACGTCATTCTGAAAAGGTTTTTAAATAAAAAAAAAAAAACAGGACTTACATGAAGTTTTAAAGATTTATAATAGAATTTTATATAAATTTCTCTAAAATTTCTATAAATTTCGATAGATTTCTCTTAATTTCGATAGATTTCCATAAATTTCCCATATAAGTTTTATAAATCTGGTACTTGTGGAGTATCCGGGGGTCTTTCAATATCCGGGGGGGCTTTCAATATCCGGGGGGTCTTTCAATATCCGGGGGGCTTTCAATATCCGGGGGTCTTTCAATATCCGGGGGGCCTTCAACATCCGGGGTCTTTCAATATCCGCAAATCGCCCTCCGGGTCGGGGCTTCTATCCGGGGGGTCTTTCAATATCCGGGGGGTCTTTCAATATCCGGGGGTCTTTCAAATCCGGGGGCTTTCAATATCCGGGGGCTTTCAATATCCGGGGGGCTTTCAATATCCGGGGGGTCTTTCAATATCCGGAGGGGGTAAAATTTTATATACGTTATATACGACCCCTTTTAAAGATATTCAGCTGCTTAAGTGATTTGGTGGCAAATTCCCTTCAAATGTAAAGATATTCAATTTATTGAGGTGATTACTTGATTACGTGATTCGAGGTGATGACTCGATCAAAAACGTAACTTCTACAAAATTTTTTTATGTCATTATTAGAAATGTTGATAATATCCTAGTTGGCGGCAAACATTTTCACACTAAATTGATGAAATTCTATTTAAAACGCTAAATTAACGCAAAATGCTATAATTTTAAAGGTTTAAGTTTAAGGTTTTAACAAAAGGTTAAACATTTGCCTCAAGAATTTCATTTTTAGTTACAAAGCCTATGGTAAATGTAAAATTCCACGGAATTTGCGTTAATCTATTGATCTTTAGACCATTAATCAGATCATGAGCAATATTTTCGTTCTTCTTTTAAACTCTGAAAGCGATAGGTGCAAAAGATTGATAAAAGTAGCAGAATAATCAAAAAGTTAAAAAAAAAAGTTAAAATTTTACCCCCCGGATCTTAAAATTTTACCCCCCGGATATTGAAAGACCCCCCGGATACTCCACAAGTACCATAAATCTCTATAAATTCCTATAAATCTCTATAAACTTTCTCCCCACCACCTCACCTTTTCCTTATTCAAATTGATCACCAAATCGATGTCGACTTTTGCGAAATTGTATCTGAAAAAGGAAATCATTTTTCCTAGGATTCAAATTTTCAAATTCCCCCCATTTTTCATTTTCAACTCACCTATCGCCTTTCACAAATTTATGCAATCGTCGATTTGTTCGCAAAAATCTCTGCACCGAATTGTGATCCAAATGTTTAGCGATTTCCGAGAAAATCTCGGCTGGCAAATTTTGAAGAATCGCCATTTTCTGAAGATTTTCTAAAAAAAAAACTTCAACTAATCAAGCTTTTAAGCTAGATTTTTAACAAAAAGAATAGATATTCTCAAAAGAACAGATATAAATGAAACCAATTTTCCGTAGATGCCATTGAAAATTGGAGAATAATTCAAAATTTTCCAAAAAACAAAGCTCTAAAGAGGGCTACAAAATTGTCCAAAAAGTCCTCAGCTTTAAAGTCTGCTGAAAATTATCTAAAAACCTCTAAAGTCAGCTCAAAAGCTCAATTTCAACTCTGAAAACCAAAGCCAAAGAAATTTCTTATAGATTTTGATTCAAAAAGGATCAGACTCCTAAAAATAATCCCGATTTCCGGTCATTGAATAGACTTTTATACTTTTGTGAGGCAAGAAACGACAAAAAAAGTGACACAAACAACAGAAAAATGAATGGGGAAAAGGGGATGAGTCGTCATTTTTTGGCGAGGGGCGGAGTTGATAGAGAAATGATTGGGAAGGGGGGAAGATGGGGAAAGAGGGGGAAGAGGGGGAAGAGGGGAAGAAGGGGGAAGGTGGGGGAAGGAGGGGACACACTTCAAGAGATCAGGGGAAACAAATAGGGGAACATCTAGACTTAAGAGAAAACATCGTTTTGTCTGGCGAAAACATGTCTGAAGCTTTAACTCTTTCAGGGATCGATGATCAAATAATGGGCATAGAAGCCAGCCAGGTCAGCCAAGGGCAGCCAGGCCTTCCAGGGATGATCAGTCAAATAATGGGCATGGAAGCCAGCCAATTAGGCTCAGGCTCTAGATCTCAGCTCCAGAACAAAGCCAGACCTAGTTTTCATTTGGAAAGCAAAGCAAAGAGCCTATGCAAAGCAAAGAGCCTATGCAAATCAAGTTCAAATGCCAGATTGAGACTTAACTAGCTTTATTGAGCTTTATGGCTTGCTTCTAGCTTTATGGGCTGATCTAAGCTGAAGAAATGCCTTAATTTGAAGATCCTGGACCCGGTTGAGCATTTTTAGAGCTTTAGAAGGCTGACTGAAGCTTCTAAAGCTCTAAAAATTGAGCATTATAAGAAAAACTTTAAGAGATAAAATAGAGAAATGTAGGAAAATATAGAAACGGCTTTGGTAATGAAGGATTCTTATTCACAGCTTAAATAAACGTGAAATGTGATGCCAAAGATAACCCTGAAACGATTCATTCAGCCAAACCAACTGACTCCTTGCAATCACATTTTTTTCTCTTTCATTTTTTGACGAAAGGGGTTTCCCAAGTCGTTTCTTGCTCTCTTGACAAGACCATTGAAACAATCTTTTTATCTTTTAGCAGAAATTTGTAGATAAACAACCAAAATGACAGAGAACAGGAACAGAATTTGTTTGTTTTTCTCGTTAGCGTTTGAGTTTAATATGGTTTTTCAATCTCTAACTAAATTGCTTCTGGTTTTTAAATCTAGAAACTAATGCAGTGGTTTATCTTTATTGATCAGATAGATTAGATAGATTAGATAGATTAGATAGATTAGATAGATTAGATAGATTCAAGCTAGACTTTTAAGTCGATTTTTTGCAAATCAAAGAACAATGGGAAGAGAAAAGTTGAAAAAGTTTCAGTTTATTCATTAACCATTCACTATTTGAATGTATAACACTAATAGTTTAAACTCAAAGACAAGGGAGTTACAGGCGCGCGAAAGTGACGATCGTTTTTCAAATATGATATTTCATTGTCCAGTAGTGTACCATTGACTAGTTTTGATCAAAACAAAAAAGCCAAAAGTCTAGCTGAGGTAATGACTCTCAATTGATCTTGGCCTGGAAATTCAATCATATTCTTTGCCTAAAACCTTTGCTTGTCTTTTTCGTGAATCCTTTTGGACTTTTTTATTATCTAAGAATGAAATAATCATTATATCTCGTCAATACTCTAATAGAATTTTCATATAGAAGCAGTCAAAGCATTGCGTAGTCTAAAAACATTCAAAGAATATTGATTCCTGAACACTTAAATATTAAATTAAAGCAGATTTGGTTCCTTTTCGATACAGATTTGGTTCCTTTTCAGAACTGATAAACATAAATATTCTAAAATTAATCGAGATCAAACACTCGATTTTTATGTTTACAATTTTTTGTATTTTTAGAACATTTAAAGAAGATTATTTAAAGAAGATTATTTAAAGAAGATCATTTAAAGAAGATTATTTAAACAAGATCATTTAAACAAGATCATTTAAACAAGATTATTTAAACAAGATTATTTAAAGAAGATTATTTAAACAAGATTATTTAAAGAAGATTATTTAAAGAAGATTATTTAAACAAGATCATTTAAACAAGATCATTTAAACAAGATCATTTAAACAAGATTATTTAAACAAGATCATTTAAACAAGATCATTTAAACAAGATCATCTAAAGAAGATCATTTAAAGAAGATTATTCTTAATAATTATTAAGAGAAATTCTTTCTAAAACGAATCAATTTCCCCGTAAACTATCGTAGTCTTGTGATAGACTATCGTAAACTATCGTAGTCTTGTCACAAGTTCTTCTAAATGTAGCTTTTACGGTTCTTCTAAATGTAGCTTTATCTGAGGAAACGATAGCTTACTCATAAAACACTGGAATTCGAAATAGACGTGCAGGATTGTGAGTCGAAGGAAGCACCAATGCAGTATCGAGTTGATCAAGGAAATCTTGATAAACAAAATCTTCTATAAAATCTTCTATAAAATCTTTTATAAAATGTCGTAATCTCAATAAATGTTCGATTTAGAATGAACAAAAATGTGGGCGCTTTGCGAATGTTTTTCGGGACTTTATTAACGCCAGAAGGTCGAGCGATTCCATGTGATCACTATGCGCCAATGTTCATCGCTGATATCACTTGCTTTCTCATTATTATCTTCGGATATTCGAGCTTTGGAGTAAGTAAAACTGTTCATTTGCTTTGTCTCCAAAAATTCAAAAAGCTAAAACCCTTTCTAGCATTCTCAATTTATCAGAAACAACAGAAAGAACTCTTACCTGAAAAAGTCTTTAAAAAAGTACAAAGCTTAAAATGTACTCGTGCTCAAAATGTACTGGTGCTCAAAATGTACTTGTGCTCAAAATGTACTTGTGCTCAAGATTTACTTGTGCTCAAAATGTAAACATCTCCTTTCTAATGCACAGTGAAAGAGCTAGTAGATTAGAAAGAGTGCGGTCCGGTTTTGAGCACAAAGTACACCACTAAAGAATGAGTTTTCTTCTGTCTTAATGTCATTTTCACTTTCTCGTTTAATCTTTCTACGAGTGACGTCATTTTTCCGTCATCGTTTCCTCATTTCATGATGTCATTTCACATGATATCATTTCAAAAAAGGAAAATCGAAAAGACATAGATCAAACGATTTGAAAATGAAATCCAAGATCTATTTAATTGAAGAACTTTAGACACACTTTAATTGAAAGAACTTTAGACAGACTTTAATTGAAAGAACTTTAGACACACTTTAATTGAAAGAACTTTAGACAGACTCTTCGGGCGGTGATGTCACGGCATACTTCTCAGAGAATAAGGTAAGCTAAAGTGTTTTGAAAAATGAAATTGACCTTGAAAACATCTTCAATACTTCTAGCCTTTATATCTATCTAAAATTTTGATTTTAGATCTATCTAAAATTCAAATTTTAGATTTGATATAAAGGCTAGAAAAACGTAATCAGATGTACAGTCTAAATTAACTTTAGATAGATTTTAGATAGATCTAAAAGGTGTACAGTCTAAATTATCAATGCAAAGTCTAAATTAACCGCAATCAGATGTACAGTCTAAATTAACTGTACATCTGATTCGACTGTGCATCTGACTACGGTTCATCTGATCTGTTTAAGTTTGATCTAACTTTGAGCTCAAATATCTCGGTGTTGGGCTGTTGAATTGAAATAATTTTTGTACCAATTGATAGAGAAAGACTTGGCGCATCTAATGATGTCAAGAATATCTCAAGAATATTGAAATTGAATAGCTCAAAATCCAACCACGAAAGAGGAATCCGCAAATTACCAAATTACCCAAATTCACCGACCCAATAGCTAAAATTTGTGAAATCGAGGAGTCAAAAACAATGAAATACAACGATTTGAGCACCTTTTTTTGACAGAAATTTGTCTTTCACGTCAAAAGAAAAAAGATAAAGAATAAAAAGTTAAGCAGATCGATAAATTTTCATAATAATCAAGCTATTCTTATTCTTTTTTCATTGGGATTTCCCGGGAAAAGAAAAGAAAGAAAGGAAAAGAAAAGAAAGAAAGGAAAAGAAAAGAAATGAAGAAGAATTCCCGGGCACTCTCGTCTCAATGCTGATCATTCAATTCGTCCTGATCATTCAATTCCCGATTTTGCTTCAAAGCGGACTCAAATTTCCTTTAAAATGAGCTAAATGAAAGAAAAATCGTTGATGATTTTTGACGCTTATCAGCTAATTTCTTTTTTTCATTGAAAAAGATGTACAAGTCTTTACGGGTAAATCTAAAGCGATTCTTTAGGTACCGGGCACTCTCGTCTCAATGCTGATCATTCAATTCGTCCTGATCATCTTTGATCGAGCACTCTTTTTACGCAAATTTCTCATTGGAAAGATTTTCTTTCAAGTAATTTCAAGTCTTTTATTTAAGAATTCATTTTCTAAATGAATTCATTTTCTTATTAAATTCATTTCCTTATTAAATTCATTTTCTTATTGATTTCCAGATTTTCTTAATCATCTTTGTGCATATTTGGATGTTTTTCTATTTGCCCGCTGCCACTGATCGACTCTTCATCAACAACACAACGTGCAAATTTTGGTACTTCAGTAAAGTGATCTACTTTATCATATCAGCGAAACAGGTGAATAAAAACAATAAATTTAGCATTTTGTGTATAGGAATTGTTCTGGTGAACTTAAATCTTCATTTTTAAGCACTATTGGCTTTCTTTTAAGGGAAATTCTTTAATTAAAAGCTTAAATTCATCGCTCTAGTGCACTTAAA